GCATGGTCACGATTTAGGGCAGCATAGGGCCAAATCCACTTCTGGGGTGGATCTTGCTTACTATAAGCCAAACTGAGGGGCCGATCCCTCTCTCTAGAGTGGAGTTTAGCCAAAGGAGTGTGGTGCCAATTTAGCCAAGGATGTTAAAGAGCAGATTCTCGGGGTGCCTGGGGGCTCAGTCGGTTAAGCGTCTGACTTCGGCTCAGGTCATGGCCTCACGGTCCATGGGTTTGAGCCCCGCGTCGGGCTGTGTGCTGACAGCTAGCTCAGAGCCTGGAGACTGTCTTTGGGTTCTGCGTCTCCTTCTCTCTCTGACCCTCCCCTGCTCATGCTGTCTCTATCTCTCAAAAATAAATAAAACATTTTACAAAATTTAAAAAAAAGAGCAGATTCTCTGGGTATTTGGGAACTGTTTCTCTGCTTTTATAACATGCCCCCCCCCCCCCCAGGAAGTAAAGAACCAGTATAGTCATTCTGTGACGCCCGAATTCAGGACAGCTACCTTGCAACCAGGGAATATTAGGATGAGAAGCAACATGAAGAATGGGAAGAGCCGGAGAAGGCAATGCAAGAGTAATGAAAGCCACTGGTCATTTTGACTTTGAAGATCTTCCTGGACTGTAGAGCTATGGTTTTCATACCAATACCAGGACTTGACACTGAAGATCAATGAACCAGACTTCGATGTGTCCTGCTCAACAATGGGAGGCATTGCTGACTCCTGTTGACAAAACATCCTGGAGGGGACTTGAGATACCGTCATGGGTTCTGGGGGTACAGACCTGCTTTCACCAGCAATTGCAATACTAGATATTTATCCAAAGGATACAAAAAATGCTGAGTCAAAGGGATGCATACATCCCAATGCTTATAGCAGCACTATCAACAACATGCCAAGTTATGGAAAGAGCTCAAATGCCCGTGAACTGACAAATCGATAAAGAAGATATATATATATATAATTAATTAATTAGCTTAATGTATAATATTAAGCTAAGCACAATAAGTCAGGCAGAGAAAGATAAATATAATATGATTTCTCTCATCTGTGGAATTTAAGATACAAAGCAGATGAACATAAGGGAAGGGAAGGAAAAATAAGATAAAAACAGAGAGGGAGGCAAACCATAAGAGATTCTTAAATACAAAGAACAAACTGAGGGTTGCTGGAAGGCAGGAGAGTGTGGGGATGGGCTAGCTGGGTGACGGGTGTTAAGGAGGGCACTTGTTGGGATGAGCCCTGGGTGTATGTGTAAGTGATGGATCACTGGGTTCTATTCCTGAAACCGAGACTATATGGCATGTTAATGAACTTGAATTTAAGTTTAAAAAAAGAAGAAACCCCACTACGTTTGCAATAATACTAAAACATCATTTGCCTTTCTACTTTCTTTGTTGCATAAGGGTATATATGGTAGGGCTTTTCCAAAGTTTCCCTGACCTTTGATATCACAACAGACTAAATACAGGAGCACATATGAGAACCCAATTTCTTTTTATTCAGCCAGGCACTAAAGGATTTTCAAAAATGTCAAAAATGGCCATCTTACCAAGAAATGTTCTGTTTTTGAGTTAGTTTCCATAGTCATTTGTTATTTATACTACCATGTAATAGATTTCTTATTAATTATAAATAATTTCATACACATTTAAAATCTTTTCTAAGCTCTCATTTCTAACACTATAGAGAATAGTAGATAGAGTCGACATAAACAAGAGCTTTTTGGAACTATTAATAATTTTGTTAAGGGTATAAAAGTGACTTGAGATCAAAATATTCGGGCATTATAGACCAGACATATCCCTTTTAAGTGAAAAGAAAATCTTAATGTTCATTTATAGTAGCTTGAGATACTCATTTAACAACAACAAAAAGCTGATACCCAAATTAAGGCATTTGTCCAAGTTGTAATGGGTACTTAGTGCTATCTAGGACCCAAAGCGCGCTGATCCGACTTCCAAGTCTATGTCTTCCCAGGCACCACTCTTACGGGTGGTAAAGATGTCGGCTGTGGTCCCGTGGAGATTGGTTGAATTTTATCCAATCTCCTGGTCATTCATAGAACCTGATGTATCATTGTTTCAACATAGGAGGGTCCTTTTGTGTCTCATAAATCCAAACCCTACAAGACTTTTGATAATTGGCTTCATTTCACTGGTCTGCTCAGAATATGGTGATGATTTTTTTCTTTTAAATTATTTTTTCACTAAAGTTTAGCCTCCTGATCTGCCCCAATTCTATGTCAAGCATTTGAGACTATCTCAAAGTGACAGCTCTCAGAAGGAAGGAAAGCGTGCCATTGCCAGCAACTACCTCCTTCTGGAGCTGGACTTTACCTGTAACTGACATCATTATAAAATTCATATTCATTTATTCCTCGCTATGAAGCTAACATTGAGCTGTAACTTGGAGAGGTTACCTATTAATTAAACCAATTAATGTGATATTAGACTCAGTTAAAAATACTTTTTAATTTTACAACAGTGTGACTTCCTATAGATTTAGAAAACAAGAAAGAACAAAACGATCAGCACATAGGGAGCGTCAGGAAGAGTTCTGGGATTCCAAGCCTTATGCCGTGGTGCTAAGTAACTACCAGCTGGCATTCCTCACTGTGTACTGCATACTTAGCACATCTCCACCTTTGCTTAGCGGGGCTGGAGAAACGAATCTTAGTGGAAAAGAGCGCTTGAGAATGTAGCAGATACACAGATACAAGAAGGAAGATGTGGGAGAAACATGGGAAGAAAAGTTAGACCCAGTGGACAGAGTGAGTGTCGGGGAAGCACAGAGAATCTGTCTCTTACCTAAGTTAGTGTTTGCTTGGATTATGAATATGTAGAGCATGATTTCTGAGTTCAGTGTTAGGATCTATTATCATTCTATTCGTCTGCTCAGCTGTATTGAACACACCTTAGGTATTCAAGAAACTTTTTTTTGAAAGAGTAAATCAATGTTGGGGCACGTGGGTGGTTTAGTCGATTGAGTGTCTGACTCTGGATCTTGGCTCAGGTCATGATCCCAGGGTTGTGGGATCGAGCCCTGCATTGGGCTCCTTGCTGAGCGTGAAGCCTGCTTAAGATTCTTTCTCTTTCTCTGCCCTTCTTCCCAGCTCTTTCTAAAATATGAGGGAGGGGGGAGGAAGAGGAAGAAGAGAATGAGGAGGGGGACGGGGGGGCAGGAGGATGTGGAGGATGAGGGAGGGGGAGGAAAAGGGGAAGAAGAAAGAAGGAGGGGGATGAGGCGGACGAGGAAACATCAGTGCTTCTGGAGGCAGAACAGTTTCCCACGCCTCCAAAGATAAAGATACCCAGGTCCCAGTCTCTGGCACCTGTGAGTTGTTATCTTCGTGGCAAATGAGACTTTGCAAATGCAATTAAATTAATCTCCCTGAGAAGGGGAGATTATCCTGGATTATCTAGGAGGGTCCAGGGTAATCACAAGAATCCTCATAAGAGGGAGAGGTGAGGTTGGCAGAGGTCGGACTGTGATGTGAGAAGGACCCGATTCGCCATTGCTGGCTTGGAAGATGGAGGAAGAGAACCACGAGGCGTGGGAGGTGGGGGCCTCTGGGGGCGGCGGAGATAAGAGACAGGGTGTCCCTTAGAGCCTCGGAGAGCAGCCCCACCCAGTGCAGCGGACGCTGCAACCGCAGCCCCGCGGGTGTCACACGTCTGACCTACTGAACAGTTAGATGGTAAACTGATGTTCTTTTAAGCCACCAAGTTTGTCATAATTTGCTAAAGCAGCCACAGGAAAAAAGATACAGTGTTTAATAAATAGTTATTGAAATTGAACCCCAAAAGCTTGCAAAGATATAATATATGACGCCCTAAATATACTTAGAAGAAGAATTTTAATGCCAGAGGCTCTAGTTATTAATTTCCTGAATGTCATGTTTCAGGGTAGAAGCGGAAAGGTAGGACTCGATTTAAGATTCAGAAGGGAGAAAGTTTCCCAATTAGGAGACATTGCAGCCAGGCTGAAGAAACGATTTCCTTGAAGCATCTCCTGGAATAGTGTTTGGAAAAGACAAAATATTAGACAGGACATAAAAATTACTGCATTTCCATTGCTTTAATACCTTCTTTGAACTTGTATTTCTGCAGAGCATTAAAAAGTGGCTCAAAGCCCATTTAGTGGCTTTTCTTCTGTGATGTATTCCTCAGGAAGCCTCACTACCCTTTTCTGGTTCATGACTCCTCTGACCAGGTAAGCCTCTGCTTTCAAGAGCTCTGCATAAGAAATAGTGTTGTTGTTGTTTTTTAACATTTATTTATTTTTTACAGACAGAGACAGAGTACAAGCAGGGGAAGGGCAGAGAGAGAGGGAGACACAGAATCCGAAGCAGGCTCCTGGCTCCGAGCTGTCAGCACAGAGCTGGATGGAGGGCTCAGACTCATGAACCACAAGATTGTGACCTGAGCTGAAGTCAGTACTTTATCGACTCAGCCACCCAGAGCTCCAAGAGATAGTGATTTTTATTAATAAAAGTATTTTGCCAAATAAAAGGTATATCCGTTCTCCCAATTTATGTGTCTGATGAGAAAATTGAGGGACACTACATCTTTTTCACCCAAGATTACTTTTATGAATCTAATTCTGATACATGGTCATATGAACTTGATTTAACACAGAAATCTATGTCATTGTGAATGCTTTTCTTAAACCCCCAAGAATAGTATATTACTAAAAGCCCTTAATTTTTTCTAATAGCCATATAGATAGATCTAATATTCCACAACTAGATTTGGAGAAAAAGTACAATTCTTTCTTTCTGGGGAAAAAAAAGGTATGTTCCTTTATTATCTTTTGGTTTCTAAAAATAGGCTGGAATTAAATGTCATGTACCTTTGGAATTCATTTTATAAATATACTTGGTAACTAGGAAACTCACATTGTCATTATTTATAATCTAGGAATTCTTTCCATGGTAACTGTTATAAGGTCATAATTATGAAGCCACAATGGAGGCTCCGAGGCTATTTGAGAATTCACCAAAAAAAGCCTATTCACAGGAGGTGGTAACATCTGATGTGCGGATCACAAGATTAATGAGGTGAGGGCTTATGGACTCACATGAGTGGTTGTAGCTATGGTTCAACTTGGTCTTCTCTGCCTTGAACCTTCTTTCTTTAAAATTTTTTAAACTTTTTTTCATTTCTGAGAGACAGGGTGAGACAGAGCACGAGCAGGGGATGGGCAGGAGACAGGCAGAGAGAGTTGGAGACAAAGCCTGAAGAAAGCTCGAGGCTCTGAGCTGTCTGCACAGAGCCCGACTTGGGGCTTGAACTCACGAACCATGAGATCATGATCTGAGCGGAAGTTGGAGGCTTAACCCACTGAGCCACCCGGGTGCCCCTGCCTAGGACCTTCTTTTGGGCAAGAAATATTGCCAGTAGTACTGAGTCCCATTTTGCAGTCTTGGAGATGCCGTGTGCCGTTGATAGCGTTTTCCCCTTCTTGTGCGTCATGTGTGGGTTAATTATGTTGCAACATAACGGGGCTGCCAAAGTCCAAGATTCTGAGCAGAAGTAGGAGGCGGCCTCCATCGGAGGTTCAGTCTACACAAGTTCAAGTATGGTCTTCACCATGTCCCAGAGCCTTGCTAGGCAGCCCCCGAGGGAGTCCCAGCAACAAGTGCCTGTGGTGAGTTTGCTCCCATCCCACAAGAGCTGGGACTCAACTTCTCAGGAGCCACACTTGCTCCAAGATGCCTCTGTAGTTTGTCTGTCCTTATAGGAGACCCAACTTCTCGTCATGAAGCCATCAACCCCTGCAGAGCCAACATCAACCTGACCCCTCCGAGGCGTGGAGAGGGTGCTGCACTGGACCATACGGGACAGCAGAGGATCCAGGCACCTCAACATGCTGGAAGAGCAGTGCTGTTCTTAGAGCCAGATTAGTTAAGGAGGACTGACCACCCGTTCTGTATATAATAGGAAGGAAACACATTGGTGTCATCGAACACTACAAAGGAAAATGATGTGAGTTAAGAATTTAGAGAATAAACTCTGTTAAAAATCAAGCTTCCATAAATGGAAGGAAGTCAGACAACTTCTGAAATGTCTTATTGAGGGTAAACCACATGGTTCATGAGGTTTGTTCACACAATTCCATTCAATTAGCAGTAGCTGCCTGACCTGGCTCGGCCCGAGGAAAGTCTGTTATTCGAAGACCTCAAAAAGCAGTTTAAATAAATACCAATATGAAGAAAAGGAAGGAAGTAATACCTTACTTATAATTAAGCAACAACAAATAGAAATGAGATGCTATATTTTTTTAGTCTTTCAGAACAGCAAAGACTGAGGAGTCGGTATTTCACATTATATGAGGGTGTGGGACAAGTGCCTTATCGGCAGACTCTTAGGAGAGCATTTTGGGAATATCCAACAATATGAAAGACATATTTCCTTTGACCTGGCAGTTTCGCATTGTTACCTTGTGTATTTGTTTTATTATTTTTAATGTTTTTATTTACTTTTGAGAGACAGAGCACGAACAGGGGAGGGGCAGAGAGAGAGAGAGAGAGAGGGAGACACAGAATCTGAAGTGGCTCCAGGTTCTGCACTGTCAGCAGAGAGTCCCATGCAGGGGCTCGAACCCACCAACTGTGAGGTCATGACCCGAGCTGAATTTGGATGCTTAAGTGACTGAGCCACCCAGGCACCCAGGGACCTTGCGTATTTGTTTGAAGGATTTACTCTGTAGCATTGTTTGAAATACTAAAAGTGCAGACACTGTTAAGTGTTCATCCGCAGGGAATTCCTTAGTTAAATTATGGCACATCTAGAAAGAAGAGTTGGGTTTTTTTTTTTTAAAGTTTATTTATTTATTTTTTATTTATTTCTAGGAGAGAGAGAGAGAGAGAGAGAGTGAGCAGGGGAGGGTCAGAGAGAGAGGGAGATACAGACTCTGAAATAGGCTCCAGGCTCTGAGCTGGCAGTCAGCACAGAGCCCGACGCGGGGCTCGAACCCACGAACCGTGAGATCATGACCTAAGCGAAAGTCGGACGCTTAACCGACTAAGCCACCCAGGCGCCCCTAAATATATTTATTTTTGAGAGAGAGAGGAGAGAAAGAGAGTAAACACTTGAATGCTGACACACAGGAGAGGGGCAGAGAGAGAGGGAGAGAGAGAATCCCAAGCAGGCTCTGTGCTGGCAGCACAACGTGGGGCTTGATCCCATGAACCAGGAGATCATGACCTGAGCTGAAATCAAGAGTCAGACACTTAACCGACTGAGCCACCAGATACCTGGAAAGTAGAGCTATTTTTAAAAACAATTAGGTGAATCTGTGCAAATATGGAAGTTTATTCAAGATATGGTTTGATTCTTAAAGGATGCACAACAATGCAAAGACTACACTCTCATCTGTACCATAAAACAAACAAACAAACAAACAAATATATATATAGGTTTTCACAGACCTAGGAACCTCTGAAACATACATACAAAACTGTTCATGCTGGATTCCTCCGAAGATAGTGAATGAGAGGGGGTGGTTTTTCCATTATAATTCTACTCGATTCTGCAGGGGAGAAAGCATACAAGATACACATGTTTCTTTTAATTGCAAAAGTAATTAAAGTTGCCCATTTACTCCAGGTTGCAGCTAAAAAGAATAGCAACATTTGGAGATAGATTTCAAAAGTATATATTAGTTAGAGTTACTACTTTCAGTAAGTAGCCAAATTAAATATGGAGAGCTACACCTATGTCCACTGAAGATTTATTTGTGAGAGCAGAATGACTTTATAAATAAAGCAAGACAATTACTTTTGGCCGCACTACAGTAACTTGGAGACATAACTACTAAAGCTGCACGAAATCGAAGAAGCAACTATTTTTAGCTGTCAGATGATGGCTGAAGTGTGGACTGAGGTTCCTCGAGAAAAGAGAGACATGATGCTCCTGGGTCAACCACCTTTCTGCCCACAGCCCCTTTGTGGCCAAAGGCAGGGAAGGGTGCCCCAGGGGAGTAGGGCGGGGGCTGGGCTGGAATTTGTGGACAGGACCCAGGAGAAGGAGCGAGTGCAGTGTAAGAGCTCCAGAAAGCACCCAGGGTCCTTGTGCATCTGTGGGCAAGGATGGAGCTTTACTGCTGGGGGCAGGGGTGGCTGGGTCCGGGGAAGGGCAGCTCCGGGAAGCTGTGGGCTGTAGGAGATGCTGCAGACAGAGAAAGTGACCCGCACCAGACCCGGGGCACTCAGTCACCACCCAGGCAAGGCCATGTCTTAGGAGAAGGCTGCTCTTGTCTCGTCCCAGCAAATTGTAACCCAAACCTTGAAAGGATCAAGGTGCCTGTAAGAATCAGAGTGAGCAGTACCGGTGGTGGTTATCCATGCAATGGGCTACCACAGTGCTGCAAACATGATGCTAAAGCAGCATGTTTAGTAAAAGATGCTGTCTGAGCCAGCCGGAGCCTCTATAACAAAGTCCCGTAGATTGGATGGCTTGAACAACCAACATTTATCTCTCATGGTTCCAGAAGCTGGAATTCTGAGCTCAGGTGCCAGCATGGTCTGGTTCTGGCCAGGGCTTTGGGGTTCTGTCCTCACACGGCTCCTCCTCGGTGCGTGCAAGCGGAGAGGGGCTCTCCTGTCACACCCTCTTTTTATAAGGGTGTCGATCTCATCACCAGGCTCTACCTTCGTGACCTCCCCTAAGCCTAATTACCTCCCAAGGGCTCATCTCCCAGTGCCCTCGCGTTGGATTGGGAAGTAGGGCTCGAACAGATTACTCTGGAAAGGACATATTCAGCCCCTAACAGATCTTCACCATATCATATTAAACAAAACACGCACGTGTGTGAGAGAGACAGAGAGCAATCCGGAAATAAATAACCTGAAATGTGAATAATGTTTATGTCTGGATGTTCTATAAGATCACATAGAGGAGTTTTCCGAAAGGCACCTCCTTCCCGCTGTGGGGTCTTCACAAGTGCTATTTCTTCTGCCTGGGACACTATGTCCTCATTAGTCATTAGAAAACGATATTAAAGCCACCATGCGGTACCATCGGACAACCAATAGCACAGCTCTTTTGAATAATCGTGAGGCTGTTGACTCACAGAAACTCCCGCATTGCTGACTGGAGCCTAAAATGGGTGGATGCAGTGGGAAATGACTTGGGTGTTTCTTAAAAGTTGAACAAACGTCTAATGGACCAGCCGACAATTCTACTCCTCAAAGAAAGGAGACAATGACCACAGTGAGATTTATACAAAAATGTTTGTAAAAGATGTATCCGTAATCACGCAAGCCTGCTAATATGCATCAACATCTGGGGACCACATCAGTGCCGGGGAAGGCAGGCATCTTGCGGGCTGGGGGTTCCAAGCTTTGTCATCATCTGACTTTTCACCCTCTTAAAATTGTTTACCATGTACCCATATTTGATTTGAAAATGTTCAACTAAATATAAATTGCCCACAGCACGGAGCAAGCCAGGGTTTAAATAAGGAAAAACTTACAATATCATACTATGTTTTGAAGCCAAGTTTGGATCCTCTTTGAATCAGCAAATTCATGTTTAGAAATGTTTCAGAGGGATAACAAGGACATCCTTTAGAGGACTATTTACACCAGCAAAAAATTAAAGGCGATTTCAACATCCCCAAGCAGGGGTTTGGTTGTATCAGTGATAACATATCCGTACAAGCACTGTCCTGCAGCCACTCAGATCGTGGTGAAGAAGAACGTTCAACCGCACGCCACGACACTCACCACGTCGTAGTGCGTAAACGATGTGCATTCGTGTGTGAGGTCTGGAGGGTGCGCTGTGAAGTGCTAATAATGAATATGTCTCCATTCTCTCTGAGAGCATGTCTGGATTTTCCTAAAGGTCTCTTTCCTGCCTTAGTTCTCGGAAAGCTGAGTCCTGATGATGCAGACTCTTCAACCTTCAAAGCCCCAGCCTCAGTTACCTGTAGCCAGGCCTCTTCTGGAAGTCCACCAGCCCTGCCTGCCCCCAACCCCATCCTGAATCCCCGTTTTGTGTTCTTTACTCATAAATGAATTTTTCCATTTCTAATTCTGCAGTTATTTAGTCCGAGTCTGATGCCCTCCCTACTGTCTTTACTTTGGGGCTGAAGATCTCTTTCGACCATCACTGTGTACCCAGTAGGCAGTGCCACGCCTGCACATGCTAAGCACACAGTACATCGAGGAGAGGTAAGAAAGCCAAGCTGCACACAGCGAGGGCGGGGGGTGGGGGAGGGCAGGGGAGGGCAGGCCAGGGCAGGCGAGGGCAGGGGAGGGCAGGCGAGGGCAGGGGAGGGCAGGCGAGGGCAGGCGAGGGCAGGGAAGGGCAGGGGAGGGCAAGGGAGGGCGGGGGAGGGCAGGGGAGGGCAGGGGAGGGCAAGGGAGGGCAGGGGAGGGCAAG